CACCAGACAGCGAATCTGCTGCTATCTCAATCCCAGACTTGCCAACCTCCAGAACTGTTAGAAATAAATTTCTGTTGCTTACAAGCCACCCCCACCCAGTTTATGATATTTTGTTAGAACAGCCAAACAGCCTGAGACACAGAGCAACCTTGAGGTCAGGGCTCATGGAAACTATATACCACAGTTTGGGAATTATAGAGAAGCTTTACAAACTGTTTTTGTCAATGTCCCCTGACTGACAGAACTCTCTTGCTATTCTTGTGTTCTGCCATCAACCAGCCTCAGTTACTGTTTGTTTCTGCGTTTGTGGGTCATTCCACCATGGCTTCCACTACCACTGTAACTGACAGACTCTCTGTATCCTGGGTTCAAATTCCTGAGGCAGAGGACCTGATTGGTTCAGTGAGTTACTATTGCCACCAATGGACAAAGCTTGCAAGTTAGACTACCTCATGGACCACTAGCTAGCCTATAAATTGTCTGTTTTTAGTCCACATGTTTCTTCTGTCCAATCAGCAGGATCATGTGGTATAGAATTTGGCCACCCACTCTCAAAGAACCACCTAGGACTTCTTGCCCCAGCAAGGAACTGTGGGAGTAGGAGGAACCCAGATTGTAACAGTCATGTCAAGAACTATGAAGAGTCTGAGACTTTTATCTGACTTGTAAGCGAAATTAGCCTGCCACAATTTCATAGATGCTGGTAGAAGACATGAGACTTCCAGGTCAGAGACAAAGGACAGTTTAATACTCATAGCAACAGCAGCAGCCGGAGTATCAGCATTTGTGTCAGCCTCCTCACCCCCAATTCCCACACGGTGATGAGAAGAGAGCCGGGTGACCCTGTGTACACAGGGAATTTCATTACAGGAGAGGAACCTGAGCTTAGGGAACCTGAATATTTCATAATGGCAGTAAGCATTCTGCCCTTTGCTCTGGAGAGAGACAGTATCTCTATCTTCCAAGGATGTTCACTGTACACACATCCTTGAAAAGATACTTCCAAACAAAGGTGGTCAGAGCCCTGATCACAAGATGTACAAAACTCAAGAGACGCATGGAAACTGTCTCTCCCAGCAAGTTTCTTTTCTGATACACACCAAATGACGACATGTTTGCTTTGGAGTTGGTTAATTAAAGTTCAGAACTCAGAACAAAGGAAGTATATGAGGCTACAATTTTTCTTTTAAGTTTATACAGTAGTGAGTGTTAATCTTTGAATTTCCCTCTGACCACTCCATAATTTCTTCAAGTGCTTCCTGCTTCATTTGCTGTTTCAGTCAGGTCTCAGTGTTTCTATCTTTCCTTCTGCAGCCCCCCTCAAAGCTCACCTGCCCTGAATCTTATTCTCTTTTGACTCCACAACAATCTTTCAACAAACTTTATTTTTATGTATTTATCAAACATATAAATCCATGTTAATCCATTCTAAGCATTTTACTATTAACTCATTTAATGTTTATACGAACCCTATAAGGTAGGCACTGTTGTTACCCCCATTCTTCAGATGAGGCAGTTGTGCTGTGACAGTTATTCTAATAAAATGCATGCACTTTCATGGAAATAGGCAGTGATAGCTAAAGCTTTAAGTGATTCTAGAAATCTTAAGAAACTTGTAGGAAAACAGGAAGCAACTCTAGTTACCCTAGTGATACTCTCATGGTAGGAATTTCAGGATAATGGAGAAAGCACCTTTGGAGAAAGGGACGCATTAACATTCTTTCTGTCATTCTCCTGGAATTCTCATACGTGGTCGGGGTGCAGGGGGGTTCCAGAAATACTTGGTTCAACCCATCCCTAACTTCAGTTCAAATGCACTCAGAATAATTGACTGACTATTTGTCCACAGCCAGGTCTGTGTTTAGTTCCGTGCTGTATCGCCAGCATCCAGCCAGTGCCCAGTTCCTCATGGGGGTCCAAAAGTGCATTGAATGACTGGCTGTCTGACTGATGGAAGGAATGGGAACCAAGAAGCTGCAGCGTTCACTTAAGCAGGAAAGAGTTCCTGGACTAGAAACAATAGATGAAACTGCATCTTAAATCAAAGGATGAAGCTATGTCTCAGCGCAAAAAGGGAGGAAGTTACTCCAGACATATGAGATAATAGAAAAAGACAACCAAATTGATATTTTTAAAAGAATTTGATTGGAAAAAACCAACCACAACAGGGGATTAGAGAGAGAGGAAAGAGGATAAGGTTGAGGGCAAACTAGAAACTCCCCAGATCAATCAGAGTAAACTGAACATAAAATAAGAGGCAATGGGCAAAACTATCAATCAGCCAGAAATGCTGGATGCTCCAGTTCCAGGAGATGACTAGAGAAAGAAGTTGATGGAAGGTAGGAGAAGAATATCAATAATGATAATGGCTACCATTTATGGATAATATTCTGTTTCAGGCAGGATTCTTAATGTTTTGTGCTTATCAGTTCATTTCAGCACAACTCTACCAATTAGATTCTACTATTTTTATCATCACCATTTTACAAATGATAAAACTGAGTAACAGAGATGTTAAGTAACTTGTTCAAGGTCACACAGCTTATAAGTAGCAAAGCTGAGGTTTGAATCTAGGCAGTTTGCTCAGAGTCTGTATCCTTCACCATTATCATTTATCATCTCTCCAATAGTATGGACTACCTCTATGTAAGGGCAGCGGCCAGGTCAAGTAAATCAACAATTTAATTAATTTTTTTAAAAGTGTTTTTGTTACACAAAAATCCTCTCACCTCCCACTCCTTATAACCAGATTGTACCCCCTCTCAAGCCCTCCCATACAGAAATTCTAGAGCTGCCATCTTACTATAACTGGCTGAAAGTTGAGGCTAGAGACCATTGCAGACCCTTAGGAATAGGAAATAGCTCAACTGTCCTAAAATTAGAGGGATTCTTCAAAAATTAAATGTGGAGGGAAAAAAAAAAGAGGAGAGGGGAGATATGCTAGAATACAAGTGACTAAAGAGACATTACTCCCAATACAATGCAGGAAACTTGATTAAAAGAAAAAACAACTATAAAAAACAGATGGAGAATGGTTGAGAAATTTACCCTTGGACTAGATAATAGATAATATTAAGGAATCAGTTAATTTTCTCAGATCTGATCACGGTAATGTGGTCTTGTAGGAAATTCTCCACATTCTTAGGAGAATGAAGTATTTAGGGCTGAAGTGCCATGATTTCTGAAACTAACTTTCTAATGGTTCAGGAAGCGAAACAGATTAGAAATTGGTTAGAAAGCAAAATTGATTAGAAAATCAGGTATGGCAAAATGTTAACAATTGTTGAATTTGGTGGAGGCTAGACAGATGTGTACTGAGGTATTCTTTTAGGTTTTCTGTATCTTATTTTCATAATAATAAGTTTTGGGGGAAAGAACCTAGAGGAGGAGGAAGTGATTGCTGACAGATTGGCTGAAGAAGGCAGGGAACTTGGCCAACGTGAAGGCCTTCGGGGGTGAGTTACAAAGCTCAGGCTTGGCCGCACGGGGTTGAATGCAAATACTTTCTCAACAGAACAGAAATGCAGAACTGGACCAAGGACCGGATGGGAGATTTGGCAGCCTTTCCAGTAAAGATAGCAGGGGCAGCTGTACAGATAATAAAACCGCCTGGACTTATCCATAAAGTCGGGAAGACCAGACTCAAGATGGGGAAACAGGCATGTTCCAGTGATTTTCTGTGAACAACCGGAGCTGGTCTGCTGGGGTCAAAACCCTCCCTCCATCACTCACCAGTTGTGTGACCTTGGACCAGTTACTTAACTTCTCTGACACCCAGTTTCCTCTAGTTGTACTTAACTCACAGAATGGTTGTGAATGAAGATTGACTAGAACATTGTATAGAAAATGCTTAACACAGGGCATGGCCCACAGTGAGCATTCAACAAATGTTGCTCTCATTTGTATCACACAAGGGAGAAAAATGGGGTAGAAGAGAACACTCATTTGCCACTGACTGTAGCAGCAAAACAGCCCAACTTCCATCTCCTGCAACTGTCTTTACAGTTGCATGTATGTTCGGGTTATTTAATTTCTTTTAAGTGAAATTGTGTGGCCCTGGGTTAGCAGTGATGCTGATGAAGTTAAACAGCGGAGGAGATTGCGCTCCAGCATGGAAAATAAACACTGAGGTCCCTGCTACAGTGTTTATCTTCAATACACCTCATCTTTGCCTGGGTAATTATCTCTCGACAGCAGACAGTTATCCAGCATCAATGGATAATTCCATTAACATCGCCACTCAAACCCAGCCTCTCCGGGCTGCTCAGGGTCCCCTGGCTGCTTGTGCAATCTTAGGGACCTCATATCATTTTGGATTTAAAAAGAGAAAGTAAATTATTCATGCACATGAATTTTTTTCCTGAACAAACCTCGGCACATCTTTGACTCATCATTCCTAAAAAGGTCTTGCTGCCAAGAATCTCATCTGTAGCAATTCAGCGCAAGCTTTGTTACGGATTCCAAGGTGGGCGATCATTGAACACTACTAGTCACTGGTCAGCTTGTTTCTAATTGTTCCAGGGTGAGAAATAGGTAGGGGAAGGTGGGGTGGTCTCTGGAGACTGTGAAATGACAGACAAGCATTCTGGCAACAAAATCCACATCATGGATACACTTGGCAGACCTGATGGTGACCCAGAGATTTACCAAAGAAAATGAAGCAAGTTTCATGAGAACTTTCACCTAAGTGTTCGTTATTTAAAATAAGAGCATATACTGTCCTTCTACACCTTTGATCACAACCCTGTCTCTTACTGGTCTCATGGCTGGTTGGCAGTTGTGACAGAAAGTGTGAGAGTAATTAGCAATAATCTCCCATGTGTTAGGAGCCTTATAGTTTACAAGGCACTTCCTTCCACGTTATACCACTTAATCCCGAAATCCTCACAAGAGCGCCACTGGGTTAGTGTTGTTACCACCTCCCCTCGAACCCCCATGCACACAGTCTGCTTCTTATCACAGAGAAGGACCCTGAGCCCTAGAGAGGTTAAACAGTATACCTGACATTCCATGTCAAATACGGTGGCGGGAGGACTTGAACGGAAGTCTTTAGACTCTGAAGATCATAGATGGCTTCTCTCTGAGAGAAGGGAAATGTTTATTATTCCATTTTCCTATGTGCAAGGGGCTTCAGGCTTTCTGTCAGTGCTAAACATCTATCTTCTTTCAAAGATAGGAAGTCAGAGTGTCTGCAGAGCACACATTTCTCCCACTGGACTGACCCCAAGATGACCTTTACACTCATTTCCACTATCTGTTAATTCCTTGTGTCTGGGTTCCAATTGAAGTGTTGACAGAATGAATGAATGAAGTGGGATAATGGATGCATCTCTTACAAAGCTAACGCATAGTAGGCATTCAAAAAAGGCTTTTTCTAATTTAAAAACAATATTTATTTACTAGCTCTAGCAGCATACTTGGTCAGGAAAGAGGTCAAAAGGTTGACTTAAATTAGGTTTGAAGGTTGGCTAGAATTCAATTACCCATGACCCTCTAGTCTCTCCTGCCAGCCATGATTAATGGGGGCTGGCTAAAGAAGTTTGAGATTAGGAACACTGCAATCAACCCTTTTTAGAGAATGAAGATGCAGGAATTATCTAAGAAGCAGGCTGAGGCTGGGTGAGGTTTCTTAGGTTGGAAATATCCTTGTGATTAAGCCTAATAACAGCAAGGCTCAGATTTGGAGACAAAGGGCATACATGCTAAAGCTGGGCAGTGTTGGTCCTTTTCTCACAGTCATGCTGGCCTAGTAGCACCGCCTGACATAGATAAATTATCATTGAGGGCTGTGGATGGTTTGGATCCAGATCTTTAAAGAACACCTTGCTGTTGGATATTTGGGGCATATATGAGGGAAAGAGGCCAACTGAAATTCAGAGAAGTGCATCAGTAAAGATAAGAAAAGAATCTACTCTGATCATCCTTGATTTCCTTTTTCAATATGGATTTCCCTTCCTCTACCTCACCCTGAGGTTTCTCATTCCATTCACTGGAAGAAGGCCTTGAGAACCCAGGACCTAGCTACAAGTTTCTTTTCATATTAAAACGTTCTTTTGGAACTGATCTCTGGAAAGGTATTTTGAAAACATTATGATAATAATAGTTGCTTACTTGTTTTTTCATTATTATCCAGTAACTTTTTTGAATCAGTTTTTGAAATTTTCCAGTGCTTCTGCCTTTGTCTAGCAACAGCACATCTTTGGTTAGCAGGTGAGGTGAGCCCAAGGAGACACAACGTGTATTTTCCCTTTTTGTTATAACTCTACCCACTGCACCTTGATTTCTGTCCAGCCTTGATTTCAAAGCCTGAAGCCTGTAGCCTGTCCTAATTTGCATAGCTGGCTTATGGAGGCAAGTTAAGGAATCATGAAGGCACCTACCCCTTGCCCCCTCCTTGGTCAAGCTGCTTAATTAACTTAGTTAAAATGCAGTCTAGTTTATGAGAGTAATTGCATTTATATGTCTTAATGACTTATCTCTCCCTATGCAATAGCCCATTTCACTCTAATAAAAAATATATACACGTGATTTGACGTATGGATCTTCAAGTCCACAAAATGAGCTCAAACTTGAAAGAGATCCAGACTATAACAACGTTTATTATTTTTAGAGCATTACCTAGTCATTTTGATTAATTCGCTTGGAGTGCTTTTCCCTGCAGCTCCCCAGGGAGAGGTGGGGGAAAAGATGGCAAAACATAAATTTCCTTTGGTGATGAGTTCACATCTGTTTAGAGCTGTCACATGGCAAATCATTGTGAAATCTTCTAATGGATGCCTGTCCCATGCCAAATAAGCCTAGGACCAAAAGCACATAAAGAAATAATTGAAAGACACTGGACTGAATCCAAAAGGCCGTGGCTAATGTTTCACCTAATCTCTCTCGCGGTCTCTCCTGCCTATGGCCAGCCCTACCCACAAGATATGCACTTCAGAGCTTCCTTGCAGCTGGCTGCTTCTTGGCTAGTTGCACCCTCTAACCCCCTTGCAGAAGAATGAGAACTATGATGAAGCCAAAAGCATAAAAGGGGAGAGGATTAGCACCCACAGTCAGAAGGTGGGGCCGTTAGAGGCTAGCACAGGTCTTCTTCTGAAAAGGTTAATCCCCCTCCCATGGGCGGTGGGGGGCACTGACCTGGGACCCGGCCCAGGGGAGTTCTGGTGGTACTGGGTCAGATCCAGGACTCTGCAACCTAGGGTAGCGAGGTATAAGAGCTGGGAACAAAAGTTAAAAAAAAAAAGAGCTCATTTTGTTTTCAAGTCTTTTTATCTTGGCTCTATCTCTTGCACCACTGACTCTAGAACTTTAGACGCTAAGGGTGGGGTTGGGTGGGGCTTCGTGCTTTTTTTTCTTAAAGGGAAAGAACAGGGAAGTCTCGAACATTTCCATTTTGCTTGAACTTGTTCATAGCCATGAATAAAACTTTTAAGCAATGTCTGGTAGTAACTCTTTGGAACTGACATTTGCAAAGGTGGCATCAACAAATCAAAGAGCAGAAAGAAATTCTGCTGCTACTCATGGAGGAATTCGTGCCTGCGAGGTATTCGTGACATTAATTATTGATGATTTCAGCTGGCCTAAGCCAGGCTTTGAGCTTTAAGACAATATGCCCATCATTGGCAACAATAACAGTCATTTATTTCTAGTGAGGGCTACTGAGCTTTAGCTATTTTCAAAGGACGCACAGAGAGATCTTCAGATCCTGTATGCCACACTTCAAAAAAAAAAAAAAAAAAAAAAAAGGCAAATCCCCTGAAACATCCCTCCCCCCACCAAAAAAAAAAAGAATTTTAGCTAAGTTTCTGGGCTGGAATTTAGTTTTTGAACAACAGATTTGCACTACATTGTAAGAAGACACAATTTGTGAACATTCAAACTTGCCAAATTAAATATAGAGGAATACAGCATCTTACAGAAGGATTTGTTATACGGCCTTTTAAATAAAAACTCCTTAAGTATCTTTAAACTAGGGATTGATGTAAAGGTTCACCTCTTAGGATCAAGTTCAGGGAAGCTTCCCTGTGTAAACATCATTCTTAATATGGAATACGCGGGCTTTGGAGTTTCACATACCTGTGGTTGAATCCCACCTCCACCACTCGTCCGCGTGTGACTGTGGTCAAGTTACATCACTCCTCTGAGCCTCAATCTCCTCCTCTGTAAATGAGGGCAGTGACAGTCCCTACCTCATAAGATTTAAATGAGCTGCTTGCTGTATACGTCCATAGGGAGTCCCGGCCACCCAGTAGGTGTTTCATGGCTCTTAAATTCCTGTGAGTTCTCCTTATTTCCCATCACTGAGATCACGTGGGGCAGCCAGCAGGGAACAACAAAAAAATTCAATCTTTCTTTGTAGCTTTAGATGTCTCAGGTTTATGTCAAGAAAGATGTGACTTCAAACAAATAGGGCCCAGACAGCTATGACTGTTTCTGCCTTTCTCATCCTTATTTACTTTTTAAACAAATACTTATATAGCACCTACCATGTGATAGGCACTTGACAAATACTGACTCATCTAATATTTCTCAACAATCCCATGCAATGTATACTGTTATTATTTCCATTTTACAGTTGAGGAAGCAGAAATATTGAGAGCTTAAGGAACTGGTCCAAGGTCACATTACAGGTAAGTGGCACAGCCAGAATTTGAACCCAAACAATCTAATCCATCCCCTCAGTATATATCATGCGCATATTCTTTATTTAGGAAGCGCTGCTGAGACCAAAGCAAGCCAGGTGAAATACCAGGGCCAGTTCTGCACGCTCTAGAAAATAACAGCAGAGCCAGAAGTATTGAAGTTGAGAGAGTCTCTGTTGATAAGATATTCACAGCCACAACCTCACACCAGAGAGCCCTAGATGAGGTTGGCTGAAGAAGCAACAAGCCGGTTTCCCAGGCCTTTGGCACTCTGCCCTTCTCACCACTCCCACTGCCTCGGAGGGCGCAGCCTTGGCTCAGGTTTCTTCATTCTTCCTCACCCACTTGGCTGGGTGACTGAATTTGCTGGCTGTTGCAGCCGGAGTGGATAGGAAAGTGGCAGAAGGAGGGAAGCCTTAAAGGAATCAAGAAAAAAAGAAATAGCTTGTTTTAAAATTTCAATAACTTTTTTTTTTTTTAATTACAAAAGCAATATGTGTTTGTGGTAGACATTGTGAAGGGGCTGACTCAACCCCATTTCTCAACCCCCATCTCCCTTCCTTTTTCCAGCTAGGGATGGTCATGTGACACAATCTGGCCAATCAGGCCTACGTCTGTCATGGAGTTCTTGGGAAAGCGCTCGTTTTTCGTGAGACAGGTACTAGTCTTTCTGGTCCCCTCTTCTTCTCTGAATGTGTATGTGATGACTGGAGGGAGTGGCCATGCTGAGACGGTGAAGGAAAAGCCATGAAAATTTCAGACATTGGTCCTGGCCTTGTTGAGTTGCTGAACCACCGTACTTTGGATTTTTGTTACATACAGCCAAGGACAATCCTACCTACACAGTGTTTTATACTATGTTCATTATAGAAAAGTTCTACCTACATAGTGTTCATTGTAGGAAAGTTAGAAAATAGAGAAAAAATAGGAAGGTGGGGGGAAATATTACCCATAATCCTACCACCCAGAAATAACCCAAATTAATATTTCAAAAATATATATGTCTTTAATTTTCCTCTTTTTATAGTTTTACAAGAATATGGAATAATGCTCTATGAACACTATTTTGTAACTGATTTTCTTCTTACCAATGTGCTATGGCCATCTTTCTATATAAATCATATTCATCTCCTTGTCATAGTATGGATGTTCCAAAGTTTATTTAACCAATTCCTTATTGTTGAACATCTATTATTTCTGATTTTTAAACAATTTTATAAAATAATTTGTAAACAATGACAGTGTGAATATATTTGTGATTGCATTTTTGTCTGATTATTTCCTTAGGATAAATTCCTATAATTGATGTGAATTCCTGGATCAAAGAGGATGCACATTTTTTAGGTTTTATATGCTGTGGATAATATGCCCTTGAGAAAGGTTTTACCAAATTTTATACTTTCACTTGTAATGCATGCTTTTCCCCCACATCATTGTCAACATTGGAAATTGTCATCTTTTAAAAAATGTCTGTCAGTTCAATAAGCAACATATAGATTAATTTAAATTAACCTAATAATTTAATTATTGAGTTTGGCATGTTTCCATGATGTCTTTTGCCATTTCTAATTCTATTTAATTTCCTATCATCTGCCAAACACTGGGCTAGGTAATTTACATATGTTATTTCTTTCAATCCTCACAAATTCATCATCTTTTGTTTTGTGGATGAGGAAACTACAACTCAGAGATGTTAAGTGACTTGCTCAAGATCACACGACTGGTAAGTGATCAAGTGGGCTTGATAACTAGGTCTGCCTGACTCCAAGGAAGATACTATAAAAAATAAACGTTTTTAAAAAGGGATGTGGGGCACTGTATAAGTTCTCAAGTCCTAGTTGAATCAACCAGGAACCAGTAGGAAGGAGACAGCCCTCTCCAAGGGATAACTGACGAGAGTCCATGGAAGGAACTATTTATAGGACTGTGGGAGGGTTAAGGAACCAGTCAAGGGCTGATGTAGCACCAAGGGACTATTGATGGTAGGGTCATTGTCATCCCAGGCCTGAAGGGGCAGAAAGAAGGACCTCTTATTGGAACCTGGTATTGCCTGTAGCCATGGGAGAGTGGCTGCCTGACAGGAGCTATGGCCATCGATAGAGCACAGCCACTGCCAACACAGAGCAGCCAGGAAACAATAATACGCCCAGCTCTGATCTCCTGCTGGTGACTCCCATTGGCCACATCCAACCAGAAGCCAGAGGACAAGAAAGCCTGGATGAGTCATCCATGGAAATCAACCTCTGGGACACAGAAAAAGAAAAAAAGTGTGGAGAATGGGCCTACAGGGGCACATTTGCTCCTTATTACCTTTAGAAAAGCAGAACTGTGTCATCCTGCAACTGTTGAAACACTTTAAAACCCATGTGCAAGGCCTCTGTAGGATTAAATGCAACCGTGTAGGTAAAGTGCGTGGCACAGTTTGGTATGTGGAGACCACTCAATAAAAATGAGTTATTATTTTTTCATGCTTAGAATTAGCACTGCATATGGATCATTCCAGAAGATTCTTCCTCTTGTTCTTTTTTCCATTAGCAACTCAGTCCTCAAACCACTGGGCATAACACAGCTTTAACAAACTGCAAAAACAAAACAAAAGAAAGAAAAGGAAAGGAATAAAACTAATTTCTTCCTGGGTACACAGCTGGGCACAGTTCCCATACCCCTTGCTCTAAGGTGTAGGCATGTGACTGAGTTCCAGCTAATGGAATATGAGCAGATTCAATGAGCATAACTTCCAGGCCTAGCCATAAGAGCCTTTCGCATGCATTCCTCCACGCTGTCTCCTCTTTGGCCAGCTTGGTGTCAATGAACGGGATAACCTCAGAATCCCTGTTTTGAGAAAGACAGTGCTGCTGTCAGTCTGTGTTTGAGCAGAGCCCCCACCCCATCCAACCCCTCCTGACCTGAAATTGCCTTGGCTTCTTATGGAAATGTGAAATAAGGCTTGATGATGTGAAAATATTGATCTATCAGAGCTTCTTTGCAACAGCATCTGGTGGTACTGCCAGGAAGACAAAGACCAAATGAATTAGTGCAATATTCAGACAAGGACCCAGACCAGCACTGATGGAAACACATACATGCACAGTGAGGCTTCTCAGGAAGAAGCCCTCCAGTTTTAATGCCCCCGACTTTCCATTCCCCAATGAGAAATTAATTTTGTTTTACTTGAATTATTATGCTCTACCAAAAATCTCTGTTAAAAATCCCTTTAAGTGAGTAGAAAGTACCCAAAGTGAGAAGCCTGGCACTGTATGTCATCAGTTTGATAAGGTTTGGGTTCACACCTAGTCCCACTCCTTAGAGCAGTGGATCTTGGCAAGTGACCTGATTTCCCTGAGTTAACATGTACAGAGAACTGAAAGCCATGTCAGACACATAGGCAGCCCTCAAAGCAGGGCTTGATAAATAAGAGAATAAAGTGAGAAGAAGAGAGAGATGTTCGCTCCCTCCTCTCTCTTCCCTTTACCTATGGGTATCTCTGACTCCTGCGCATCCTTCTCTCTCAGAAGGAGGTTGGTGAACACTGATTTGGAGGAATAGGGGACAGAGGAAGGATAAGGGCATGGACACGGCCAGCCACATGTCTCATTCCCTCCTCCTCTGAGGTTGACACAGACTCCCGTTCCCTCAGCGAGAGTCCATCCAGCCCACCAGTGCTTCCAAAAGTATAGTACTGGTGTAAGAAACCAGACTCTGGATTTGAATACTGCCTGGGTTTGACTCCTGGCTATGTCACTTATCACAAAGCACTTAGACAATGCTTGGCATAAGTGGCTGCTATAATCATTAAGTATTACTACTGTTAGTGCTTCAGTCAAACCCTTCAGTACCTATCAGTATACAGAGGCATTATGGACAAGGCCACTGCCTCCCCTCCTTGGCAGACGCCAACACTGGTCTCATCCTGAGGAGGCATCTTGTCTTGAAGTCGCTGCTCCCATCCATGCCCCATTTAACTGAATGCCACCAATTCAGAAGAAAATTTTTTAAATGATTCATGAGCCTCACAGATAGACTAGAAGACAGGGGAAACTGTCAGAATTACTAGGGCACAGCCGCCTGCTCTAGTGCTTTGAAGACAGTGATGGATGGACGGATGATCTGGTTACTTCAGATTTCAACTGCATGGCAGGGCAATGCCACCAATGCCAACTTTCCCATCAGTTAAATTGAGAATCAACCCATCCCATAACGACAAGAGAGAGAAGTAATGCCTATAGAACATCAAAATATATAAAGCTAAGAGCATCTATAAAATACATGTAATAGGAAGGACATATTTCAGTTATGTATTCCATCAACTTAAGTTCCCTAAAACCTAACACCCCATACAACGAAATTATGATATAACACAGTTGGTGTCTAAAGAAGACGTTATAACTGCATAGCCATGGGGTTAGCATGAAGCTCCCTGACCTAAAGTCTTGGTGTCCTGTCATAGCATGGGCCAGGAGGAACATTCTAGATAAATAGGCTGAGAAATGGAGACATAGAGATCATTCAGGCCCACCTACTGTGTGCCAGGTGCTTAATGGATGACACCTCATTTAATCGTCATGAAAACTATGTTTTACAGAGAGCTTTCAGGAAACCATCTGTTCCTGTGATGAAAGCTTGCCTCGGGAATTACAACGACCCAGGTTTAAAGTTGGACTTTGCCACTTTCCAGCGGTATGATTTTTAGAAAATTTATACAGCCCCTCCGAGTCAGGGAGGAGTAAATGAGCTAGCATACGTAAAATATCCGGTACACGATAGGTGCCTCATCAATATGAATTTTTTTCTCTTGCTTCTGTTAGTGGTTTTCAAGTTGGGTTGCACATTGGAATCACTTCAGGACCTTTAAAAACATACTCTTGATTGAGTTCTTCCTCCACACATTTGGGTTTAATTGGTTCAGGGTGAGCCCTGGCCAGGGCTTGGGGAGTTTTAAAAGTTACCCCGGGTGAATCTAAAGTGCAGCCAACGTTGAAAACCACTTGTCCTAATTGAATCATCCAGCGCCACGTAGGGAGTTAGTGGGTGATGCAATAATGTTATTGTTAATCGCGTTGGGCTGAGTTATCAGAACTGGGAATTCTGGGAAGTGCTGACCTCGCCTTCTGCTGCTAAAAAAAGGACAGAGAAGCATGAGCTCCCTCAGCCCAGGGTCCTTCAGGAAAGCCAATTTATTCAGATGAAGGAAAGGCCAGACTAGTGGTTTTATCTTGACGAAGGCTACCATTTTGGGAAAACCAATTCTTTAGAACAAAGTCTATGAGTTCAAGAGCCTGTGGGTGCCGTTCTTCAAGTGAACTGCATGTTCCAGGAACCAAGGTAACAGAGTCCTGCCGCCTCAATGGAGGACTGAGACTCTGGATCAAGGACTGTTGTTGTCTGCCTGTGTGACACTTAAGGCAAGTTCCTTAAACTTGCTGAGCTTCAATTTCCCAATCTGTTAGAGACATACACATTTTAAGGAGAACTTTCTGAAAGCTTGACTTTCTCAGAAAAAAAAAACAAACATATCTATTCATACCCAAATTTTACATGCGTTTTACATTTAGGGAAGTTCATGAACCACATTCAATTTTTCTTAATTAGATAAGCCCTAAATCCTCTTCTGACTTTATAAAATTATTGTACTCCAATTAAGATATTGTTTAAAGGTTATGCTATATGGGTGGGCTCTACTGGGAGGTTGCTGAAGGGAGAGGGACTTCTGAGAGGTGGAGTTTTTGAGCAAAAAATAATGGTCCTGAATCTCTGGATTGAGTGTGTCATTTCAAAGACCCTGGGTCTAGGCAGCCCAGTGAAGTAGCTAAAAAATCTACTCAGGAAAAATAATCGAGCCAAAGAATTACAATCCTAAATCTTTCTTCTGGAATTAACGCCTTTAAACTGATTTTCCAAGTCTAGTATAGAAAAATCCACATTTCATTATCACGTTCAAAGCTACACAACTCTGTGGCAGGCTGGAGAGGCGGAACCTGCACACGCAAATCCCACTTCTGCCAGCTGCTCATTGTGTGATCCAACCGGGCAAGTTGCTTCACCTCTCAGTGCCCTCGCCTGTAAAATGCAGATAACAGCGCTAACCTCACAGGGCTGGTATGAGGAATAGCTAATAAAATGTGATAGCGACACGCCCAATTTAAATGCAAACGGCTGTAAAACAGCAAAAAGCAGATTTAAAGATTTCCACTGCTGGAAGATTGGTTGTGGGGTTGGGGAAAAGGGAGAAACCATAGGGCTTTGAGAGGAGATCATTTATTTTTCTCTCTAGTGTACACTTCAGTTTATCAATGAATATATATGATTCCATGTGCCTGACACTGTGTTAGACCCTAGGAAATATAGAACAGTCTTGGTTCTCACATAATTTGCATCTGCCATTCCAAGAAAGACACATAAAATCCACCGGAAAATATTCTAAATCACAGCTCTCTTTCTACGACGTTTACCGAACTCTGTCTGTCTGCATAAGATAGCTTTGGGAGATGCAAGGGCTTACAAGACACATCACCACCTTTGAAGAGTTTGAAATCTCATCTTAAAGAGAAGACATGTGGAAAAGGGGAAATAGTCGAAGGCAGTATAAGACTCAATGCCAAGTGAATATTCAACTTCTTCCTTCATTTGTATTTCTTTTCCGTTTGAGTGACTCTCTTCTCCACTCTCTCCTTCCCTGCTAAAGAATCTCTTCCACACCCCTCTGCCTGATTTCTAGGTCTTTCTTGGGGCCAGTGTAAACCAACTAACATATTCGCAACACTATAAATAGCCAGGACCTAGAAAGTGCATGACCTGTCTAAAGCATTCAAATTCATTTTTTATATGCAATAAAATGCTCAGATTCTAAGTGTACAGTTGAATGAGTCTTGACAAATATATGCACCCTTATTAATATATAGAACACTTTTTATCCCCCAGAAAGTTTTCTCCAGTCCTCTTCCATCAATTACCCCTCATCTAGAAGCAATTGCTCTTCTGATTTCTATCATTGTAGCTTAGCTTTACCTGTAGATCTTCATATAAATGGAATTATACTGTGTGTACTCTTTTCATCTAGCTACCTTGATGCAACATAATGTCTTTGAGATTCATCCACTTTGTTGTATCAGTAATGTGTTTCTTTTTATTGCTGAGTAGTATTCCTTTGTATGAATATACTGTAATTCATTTAGCCATTCAGTTGTTGAGGGACATTTGGCTTGTTACCAGGCTTTGGCCATTATGATGAAGTCATTATAAATGTTTTTGTACAAGTCTTTTGTGGAGATATGTGGGGGGTTTTCCCCAGCTTACTGAGATATAATTGACTTATAATATTGTGTAAGTTTAAGGTGTACAATGTGATGATTTGATACCTGTATATATTTTGAAATGATTACCACAGTAGGGTTAGTTGACACCTTCATCACTACACGTAATTACCATTTCTTTTTGTGGTGAGAAAATTTAAGATCTACTCTCTTAGCAACTTTCAAGTACATAAAACACTATTATTAGCTGTAATCCCTATGATGTGCATTAGATCCCTGGAACTTATTCATCTTCTAACTGGAAGTTTGTATACTTTGACTGACGTCTCCCTATTTCCTCCACCCCCTGGGCCCTGGTAACCATCGTTCTACTCTTCATTTCTATAAGTTTGGTTTTTTAAAATTCCACATAAAGGGGGGACATACAGTATTTGTCTTTCTCTGTCTGACATTTCTTTTAGCATAATGTCATCCAGATCCATCCACGTTGTCGTAAATAACAGGACTTTGTTCTTTCTCATGGCCAAATAATATTCCATTGTTAATATTCCATTGTATGTATATATATACACACACACACACATACCACAGCTTCTTTATCCATTCATCCATTGACATTTAGGTTGTTTCCATATCTTGACTACTGCGAATAATGCTGCAACAAACATGCGAGTGTAGACATCTCTTCAAGATCTTGATTTCAATTTCTTTGGATATATACCCAGAAGTGGGGTTGCTGGATCATATGGCAGTTCTATTTTTAATTTTTCAAGGAACCTCCATACTGTTTTCCATAGTGGCTGCACCAATGTACATAACCACCAACAGTACACACCCACCAACAGTACACAAGGGTTCCCTTTCCACCACATCCTCACCAATACTTGTAGTCTCTTATCTTTTTGGTAATAGCCATTCTAACAAGTGTGAGGTGATATCTCATTGTGGTTTTGATTTGCATTTCCCTAACGATTAGTGATGTTGAGCATCTTTTCATGTACCTCTTGGCCCTTTGTATGTCTTCTTTGGAAAAATGTCCATTCAGTTCCTCTGCTGTGGACATAGGTTTTTTAATCTCTCTTGGGTAAATACCTAGAAATAGAATTTATGGATCACAGTGAGGTGAATATTTCATTTTATAAGAAATTGCCATAACTTTTGTCAAAGTGGTTGTAATATTTTATACTCCCAACAATAAAGTATGAAGCTTCCAGTTGTTTCACGTCCTAACCAACACTTGATATTACGGTTTTTTTTTTAAAGATTGGTACCTGAGCTAACAACTGTTGCCAATCTTCTTTTTTTTTGCGTTTTTCTCCCCAAATCCCTCCAGTACATACTTGTATGTTTTAGTTGTGGGTCCTTCTAGTTGTCGCATGTGGAATGCCGCCTCAACGTGGCCTGAGGAGTGGTGCCATGTCCTCACCCCAGATCCAAACTGTCAAAACCCTGAGCAGCCAAAGGGTAGCGTGCGAACTTAACCACTTGGCCACAGGGCTGGCCCTGAAATTACGTTTTTTAACCATCCTAATTAGCATAAAATGATATCTTACGGTGGTTTTAATTTGCATATTCCTGATGAGCAATGATATTGGGCACTTTTTGTTTTGTTTTTGTGAGGAAGATTGTTGCTGAGCTAACATTTGTGTCAATCTTCCTCTATTTTATGTGGGATGCTGCCACAGCATTGCCTGATGAGTGGTGCTAGGTCCATGCCTAGGATCCAAACCTGTGAACCCCGGGAGGCCAAAGCAGAGGGCATAAACTTAACCACTATGCTACTGGGCTGGCCCCGATATTGAGCACTTTTTATATACTTCTGACAATTCATATACCTTCTCATGAAGTGTCATTCAAGTCTTTTGCCTGGTTTTTAATCCATTTTTTTATCTTTTTAACTATATGTTGTTGGAATTCACTATATAGTTTAGATACAAGTCTTTTGTTAAATAAATGTACTAAAAATAGTTTTTTCCAGTCCGTGGCTTGCTTTTTCATTTTCTTAATGGTATTTTTGATGAAGAGACTTTTTAGTTTTGATGAGGTTCAATATGTCAGTTTTATTTTATGATTAGTGCCTGTATGATTTTGTTTTCTCCAAAGAAACAGAACCAATAGGTGGTATAGATGGATAGATATAGCGATATGGATATATAGATATTTATTTATTATAAGGAATTGGCTCACTAATTGTGGATGCTGAGAAGTCCCAAGATCTGCAGTCAGCAAACTGGAAACACAGGGGAGCTGAAGGTACAGTTCCAGTCCAAGGGCAGAAGACCAATATTCTAGTTCAAGTACTCAGGCAGAAAAAGTCCCCTCTTGCTCAAACTTTCTGTTCTATTCAGGTCTTACATTTGGTTGGAGGAGGCTCACCACATTAGAGAGGGCAATCTACTTTACTGATCTACGCATTCAAATGTTAATCTCATCCTAAAACATCTTCACAGACAAACCCAGAATAATGTTTGATCAAAGGTCTGGGCACTCTGTGGCCCAGTCAAGTAGACAAGTAAAATTAATCATCACAGTGCCTTTAGTGTCCCATCTAAGAAATCTTTCTTACCCCAAGATGTTCTCCATGTTCTGTCTTAAATTACTTTTGATGATTGATATGAAAAGGTGTCTTCCAGCATCATTTTTTGGAAAGCCTATCCTCTTTGAATAATACTGGTGCCTTTGTCAAAAATCAGTTGACTATATGTGTGGATCTATTTCTGGATTCCATTGTATTCCATTGATCTATTTGTCAATTCTTCTATCAATACCACACTGTCTGCATTACTGTATGTTAAAAGTAAGTCTTTGTATTCACTATCATTGCTGCATAGCAAATTACCCTAAAATTTAGCAGCATAAAATGACAAACACTTATTATTTCACATCGTTTCTGAGAGTCAGGAATCTGAGAGAAACTAAGCTAAGTGGTTTTGTCTTAGGGTCGCCCATGAGGTTGCGGTGAAGTTATTTGCCAGAGTTGCATTCATCTGAAGGCTGGACTGGGGCTGGAGGATCTTCTTCCAGGCTCACTAACGTAGCTGTTGAGAGCGATCTCAGTTCCCTGCTGGCTGTTGGCCAGGGACTTCAGTTCCTCACCGTGTGGGCCTCACCATAGAACTGTTCATGACAGAGAGGTTGACTTTCCTTAGAACAAGTGACCAAAGAAAGAAAATGAGAGAGAGAGAGAGATGGGTGTCACAGTGTGTTTTATAACTTAATCTAGAAAACAACATACCACCACTTCTGTCACTCTTAGCCACACAGACCAACACTGATACAATGTGAGAAAGGACTAGACAAGAGACCAATATCAGGAAGTGGAGATCCTTGGGGACCATCTTGTAGGCTGGTTACAATCTTGAAATCGTGTGGTGTAAGTCATCTAATTTGGCTTTTCTTTTTCAAGATAGTTTTGGCTAATCTATCCTTTGCATTTTCATATAAATTTTAGAATCAGCTTGTTGATTTCTAAGAAAATATCCTGCTGTAATTTTTAGTGGGATGGCATTGAGTCTATAATCAATTTGGGAAGAACGGCCGTCTTATCAATTTTGAGTCATCCAGTATGTAAACATGGTATCTCTATTTATTTAGATCTTCTTTAATTTCTCTCAGCAATGTTTTTTCATTTTCAATACAGAGGGAAAGCACATCTTTCATTAATTTATTTCTAAGTTTTTCACATTTTCTGATGCTATTTTTAAAATATCATTTTCTACTTGTTTGCTGCTAATATATAGAAACAAATTGATTTTTTTTATACTGGCCTTAATCCTGTGACTTTGCTAAATTCACTTATTAGTTCTTGTAGTTACTTTATAGATTCCTTAGGACTTTCTATGTAAACAAAAAAATACATTAAAACCAGTCTTCTTCCTTTCCAATATTTACTGTTTTCATTTCTTTTTCTTGCCTCTAGTACTGCCTAGCACAGAGGTCAATAAAGATTTTCTGTAAAGAAATATTTTAGGTTTTTCAGGCCATATAATCTCTGTCACAACTACTCAACTCTGCTTTTGTAGCACAAAAGTAGCCGTTGACAATCTGTGATTGAATGTACGTGACTGAGTTCCAATTAAATATTGTTTCCAAAAATGGGTGACCGGGCTGGGTTTGGCCAATGAATCATTGTTTAAAAGTATTAAGGTCATGAAAGCTGAGGAAAGACTAAGGAATTGTTTTAAATTGATGACTAAAGAGACATGACAATTCAGTGTAACGTGATCATAGATTGGATACTTTTGCTAGAAAGGACATTATTGAGATAATTGGTGAAACCAGAGTGGGTCTGAGGATTAGAGGGCAGTGAAGTGTCAATGTCAATTTTCTGATTTTTATGGTTGTGCTTTGATTATGTAGGAGCATGTCTTTGTGTAGAGGAAAATCACACTCAAGTACCAAACCCGAATGGACATTATGTTGACAGGTCACTCTCAAATAGTTCAGTAAAACAAATTCTTCACACTATAGTTACAAAACAAAAATGTATTATTGGGCCACATAGTGTGAAGAGCAATTATAGACCCATGGCATCCAAAAAGGATAAAACCAGAAAACTGAGAATGTCTAAATATCCTGTGAGATTTGGGTTGTGGGTGGAGAGCTAGGCTTGTCTATACTCCCATATACCTTATACATGTTTTATCCTGACAACCACTCAGTAAGGTTAGAGTCACGTCTTGCTGCATATTACTAGATATCCAGACTTTTTAAGGTTAATTATGACTAGTCTCAAATAAGGTCTAATAAATAGCTCCCTGAACTGGTAAATGTTGCTTTCATGTATAATATATCATTGCATTCCCACAATCACCAAAAAGTTAAGAATTATTAACCCACTCTTACAGATGAGAAACCAAAGGTTATTAAAGGCAGAGAAGCTGCCATCTGGACCCAAAGCAGGACTCTGATGAAAGTCCTGGGCTCTTTCCATTAACCACAACTGACCCAGTTTTTGCCCACTATCTATTGACTTGGATAAGTTGCTTAAAATGAAAGAATCTCTGAGAATCAGAAGGGACCTTAAAAGTTATGTAGTTCAACTTCCAATCAGAGAGGTTAGGGCCTATGTATGTGCATAACATAGTGTGAAATGCATACTTTATAAAGACTATTTTCTTATCTGGTAATAATAACCTCCTGTGGAAATATAATGAATCAACGTGTTGGAAAGATCTCTGAAAACTCTTAAGTTCCAAACTAATGTAGTATATTTTGCTCTCCCACTTAGCTGCATTTTTCTTTACCTCTTAAGAGCACTTTCATGGGTTTCTCCGAATCCTCTGTTATTTGCTCTGAATGATCCCTTTACTGAATCCTCACTTGGATTTTTTATTGTGGTAAAAAACATGTAACATAAAGTTTACCATTTTTAAGCGTACACTTCAGTGGCATAAATACATTCACATGTTGTGCGACTATCACCACCATTCTTCTCCAGAACTTTT